TCGTCAGAAGGGCTAGCCTCAGTAGATTGACTTCGGTTTGGCCAGGCCGCTGCATTCTCGGTCGGCGGCTGCGCGTTTGACCACCATTGCGGGGTCCTCACGCGCTGAAGGATCGAAGACCCTCTCAAGCGAGTCTGAGTGTTTCCCTCTTGAACTTGAGAGTCTCGGATTCCCTCCTGCTATCCTTCTTACTCTCTACATCTCGTCCTTTGGCTCTGAGAGGAAGGTGGCAGGCGGGGCTGTGACCCGTAAGCCGCGCCAAGGCCTTTGTGGGAGGTTGCCCCACCGATTGCGGGAGCTCTACCGGGACTCARGCGGAGTCCTGGAGGCAGGGAACTGAGTGGTAAACCCTTGACTCCCTCTATAAACCCAACTATAACCCCTACTTGTACATCTCTCTATGTTTGACTGAGTGGATTGTGTGGATCCTGTACTTGGTTCTGAGTCTGACKTTCARGACATAAGTCAGACTGAAGTAAAGGAAWGAGTGTGTAAGTTCAGTTTCAGACTTTGTTTGGTTGCCTGAAAGCAGACTGTGAACAGAAGGGGTTGCATCTGGGGGAAGGTTGGGAGGAAGGCAGTATTGCGTGCAGTCTGATTGGGTCGTTGAGGCTGAGAGGTCCCCATAAGTTTGGCGAAGCCCAGCGCTTTGTTTATTTCTGGATTGCATGGAGCCTCAGGCCGCTCTATAAGTTTCGGTAGCCTGAAGCTCTGGAGGCCAGGAGGTCCCCATAAGTTTGGGGAGACCCGGTGCTGTGAATTGCATGGAGGGTCAGGACGTTCTATAAGTTTAGGTGTCCTGGCTGCTCTGACTTGTGAGGGTTTGACTGTGAGTGACTTTCCGGGACCCAAGGCGCTCTATAAGTTTAGGTACCTTGGGTTGCCTCGTTTTATTTGGGGTTCTCTCAGTTTCTTTGGTTCTGAACAAGGAGGTCTGAACCACTCTATAAGTTTAGGTGGTTTAGCCCTTCTCCTGTTTGTTCTGAGGGAATAATTGTGGCAGGGGACAGGCCGCTCTATAAGTTTAGGTAGTCTGTCCCACTGCCTCGCACAAATTGGATCAGAGAGGAACGAACCTGGCAGAGGATCAGACCGCTCTATAAGTTTAGGTAGTCTGACCCAATGCCTCACATATGGTTGGAACCCAATGGATATAACTTGACTATACGGTATTACTATGTTATTAAGAACAGGCTTGTCAGGCCGCTATATAAGTTTAGGTAGCCTGACTATAGCTTATCACAACTGAAGAGGGTATAACTAAGAGATATAACTGAAGGTAAACATGGGCGGGATGAGCAATGTTCTAAGTTGAGCGGCTCAGCCTTATGTCCCTTTTGAAGACTAAGTCCAGAGAAGTATATATAAATTGGCTATTTAAACAGTTCAGGGCGACTAGAGTSGTCTAGTCATACGCCCAAAGAAGAGASAAGTAGTTGTGCCCTCTGTTTGTGTATACCTGGCCAAGTYAGAACGCTCTATAAGTTTAGGTATTCTGACTTTGGGCCTGGCTAAGTTGGGCGTGCTCTGTAAGTTCAGGTGCCCTGACMTATGCCTTATGTAAGTKGGGTATGAGGGGATAACTYACTGAGAAGCCATGAACTATTGTTTGCTAAAGAAACTTGGGGTACTTACCTTTGTGGTTTGGCCTGCATGTGGCTGAGTGAGATTACTACTTGGT